TATCCAGGACAACTTAGGCCTAACTATCTTACTAAGCTTTAACTATACTATAATAATTATGATCAACACTCACAACTTTTTTTTCGCATTTAGCACAATCTTCTTCACTTTTTAATGCTATTAATATTATTATCAATTATTATTATCGTCATCATTATCATCATGATGATGATCATCATCATTGTTATTATTATTTTTACTATTAGTATTAGTATTATTAAACAAAACTTGCAAAAGTATAAAAACGAAACTGAACCATACAGTATCGCATTTCTATATCTTAAAAAACCTGGCCTGAGACTGTGTACAAAGGGGGGAGCCGCGGCTCCCCCCCCCCCCTGGATACGTCCCTGCCCTTGAGTAAATTTCGTATTAAAGTCTAGATTTTGGGGAGCATGATGATCAGTTTCAAGATTTGGCCATCGGTCGATAATTGGAAGTCTCCTCACCTTTCACGAATGTTACGGTACATTTATATCACCCGTCTAGATAAGTCAGCAATAACTGTAGGCGGACGAGATATTTACCTATTAGTGCAATGCGCACTGCACAAAATCTTATAGAATGCCATCCGAAAATATCTACTTACAAATGCGTAAATGAACGGGTTTAGGGCGCTATTGCTCCATCCTAGCCATGTCATTATTGGAATAATGAATTGGGGATACTTAATGCATTTTATACAGATAACAAACAACGGAATTGTCACAAAAAACGGGAACCAACAGGTAACAAAAATACCCATCACAATACCTAGTGTTTTTGTGGCTTTGTGTTCTCTCTTCATATTGTTCGTTAAATTGTTCCTCACAAATCCACCACGATGTATTCTTAAATTTACAGTTTTTTCGTGATCGCTTGAAGATATTGTCACGTTCTTTGTACCAGCAGGATCCCTCGCATTTGGCTTACAGCTGTTAAATAAACTCTTAAGTATGTAAAAACCATAATTGCGCATGGAAGATAAAATGATATGACTGATGAAAACAACAGATACGTTGATCTTGTAAATATACATTGATTTTCAATAAAAGGTGGGTCCACTTTTCTCCACCAAACTATTGCCGGAAAAGATAGAGCAGACGAACAAACCCAAACGAACGCGATCAAGATACAGGCAACACGTTTTGTCATTTTTGAACGATAACTAATTGGGTTTGTTATCGCCAAATATCGATCCAAAGATATGATACATAAATTCAAAATGGATGCTGTGCAACAAAACACATCCATAGCGTGCCAGATATCACACCAGTTTCTTCCAAAATACCAGTATCCGGATGTGTATTCCACGGAAATGGCAGACGGCAGGACCACAACCCCAATTAGAAAATCGGCAAGTGCCAACGACGCTATAATAAGATTGGTATTGATTGATCGAAGACGGTTGTCTTTGAACACTGCCAACATAACCAACAGGTTCCCTAATATTGTCAGAATATTAATGGCACACAATGTACAGAGAACCATAGGATGTAACAGTACTGGCTCGAACTTATCAGCCGATGTAAAACTGAGTGAAGTTATAGTTGTTGGAAGATTACTTTCGGTACCTGTCGACTCAGTATTTCTCATAGTAACATTAACTAGAAAGTTTGACATGTCGAAAATGAGTTAAATGTTGTCACGGAATGCATACAAATCTCCTAAGCATATTCTGGAAAGTCACTTTCACAAATCAGAAAAACCAGAAGGTATGCCTTACCACCAAATGTCAATACACTCCCAATGTTTTACCAAATACCAAATGCCGTAATCTCCAAAACACTTAACATCTAGCTCCTTACTTGTCTTCAAAATGAAGGGATGTATCTCAAAATAACTGCAACGCTTGTGCAACTAATATTAGTTCCCTGAAAATAAATCTTTCCGAATTGATTTATCATTTACCACAGCTGAAATTTATTTGCAGTGCCGTATTCGAACAAACTGAGAGAAGACAGTCTATTTTGTGGACGTTTCCATAGAAGCACTACGGAAGCCCGTTAGTGCCACCAGTCGGAATTAAAATTTAAGAACCGCCGTTAAGTGGTGGCTGCCTATGGAGTGCGATATCGCTCAGTATTCGGTTCCTGAACTGAAGTTCAATTAGAAATTTATCAACCAGAATACCATGGTCAGGCGAAGGCCTATATTATTGTTACTACTGCAGGTGTGATTCTTAGAAAATTTTCAGCCAAGTAGAAAGCATACATATACTGTATATATAGTATTATAAAAGTATATATATAATAATATATGTAATAGTATAGTATAATGTATATAGTATAGTATAAATAATAAGAATAAGATAGTCAGGCGATCGATTATTCAAATAATACAAGATAAAATGAAAAGTCACTGCACCGACCTAAGTGTCAAATAAGCGACCTATGTTTCCCTCACGCTTTCGATAATTTGAATTTAAATCCTATAGTATTTCATAAATATATAACCTCAGCGTTAATATTTGTTAGTATTTATTTTAATTTACTATGGTAGTTAAGTAGGATATCAAGTGCATAAAAAAGACAACACAAGACATTAGAACAGTTACTGTAGATAAACATATTAAATATAGAGGGTGGGTAGAGAATGAATTAGCAAAAAAAAAAACAAAAGAATAGAATAGAGAAGTGTTTATTTTGTATCTACCGTTTATGGAGTGCGATATCGCTCAGTATTCGGTTCCTGAACTGCAGTTCAATTAGGAATTTACTGCAGCGAGTTCTCTGTCCTCTGATTGGTCAAAATGTGCATGGAGGGCGCTAAACTCGCAGCGAAAACTTAAACTCACTGCAGTAAATTTTTTTCTGCTCTGTGATTGGTTGGAATTTATTGCCAACAATCTTGCTGCAGAAAGTTTAATATACCACCCAAACGCTTTACTACGATGTATTTGATTCGTCGATGAATTAGATACTATATCACCATGCATTAAGAGTATTTTAACGTATAAATGTATCACACTTGCATTTTACACCCCAAGATTCAAGATGGCATTTATTGTAATATACGAGCAGTAGTTGTTCGCCCATCAATAAGAATAAGATGGTCAGGCGAAGGCCTATATAATTGTTACTACTGGTGTGATTGTCAAAAAATTTTCAGCGAACTAGAAGGCATACATACACACACACACACACACACACAAGATGTGTATAAGAGACAGTGTGTATTGATGGTGAAAGAATATGTTTGTAATAAATAAAACCATGACGAAAATGCTTATATTTAGTTTCAAACACACGTG